GATGCCAATTCCATAGTAATGATATCTACAAAAAAAAACCATCGAAGATTAGAAATAAAGTCTTACATTTTAACTAAAAACAAAACAAACATTTTAATTTGGTTTATATTTACTTGGAGTGCCCCCTGGTGCCCAGTCTTCTGGTTGTCAGAAGAGGAAACTTCTGTCGTATCGTCTGATGAGAACAGAAACAGGAAATTTCACAAACTGTAACTTTCATATCAAATAGAATCACACACACACACACACACACACACACACACACACACACACACACACACACACCTTCCCAAATGTAGCAGCACAGGCCGGCTCCAGTTTCTCTTTCCTGCAGAAGTCCAGATAGTGGGCGTAGAGGATACAGCGAGGCAGACACACTCCCTCACACACGATGTAGTTCTCCTCCAGCCTGTTGTCAGAGAGAAGTACTTTTACTCAAGTACTGTAAATGTACTTTTCAGAGGTTCTCTGTTAGAGGCCGTAAACGTCACGTTGTGTTTACGGGGTAAACACAACGTGACCTGTGGGTTCTTCTTGCTTGTGAACATCTCGAGAAATCCCAGAGAGAACGTCTTTAAAGTGACAAGCGTTTCGTTGAACTCAGAAATGAAAGGATTGGAACGTGGCGGTGAAAGGTCAAAGGTCAAGGATGAGGCGACCTGACAAAGCACTTTTTTTTAATCTTGTGAACACGATATCTCAAGAACGCCTTGAGAGAATTTCTTCAGATTTGGAAGCAATGAAATAAATGACGTCGAGTGAAACTGCACTGGTCGGTGGAGGAATACAACTGACGAGCGGCGTATTTTCTTGTGGACTGTTCGCAGAGCTCTTACCACTGGAGCGTGAGCTGTGTCTGCTTCTTCTTGTCCTTGATGATCTGACTGATGGTTTTCCTGGAGGACGAGTTGCTGTGTTTGATGTTCAGCTCTGAGTTAAAGTCCACCAGGTCCTGGTCGTCCTCAGAGGACGGCGTCTCGTTACTGTCCTCAGCTTCTGAGAAAAATAACCAGACTAATAGAGCCCACAGTTTCCAATAATCAAGCAAGAAAAAAGGAAATAAAACACACAATGAAACGCAGAATATGCTGCAGATTAGAGGACGATCGAGCCCTAATTTACTTTATTTAATCTATTTTCTTTCCATTATAGTTCACATAGATTCTGGTCTTTTTACATCATAGTTTAAAAGTGACTAGAATAGTAAAAAAAATAATTGTCTATTATTTTCTTAGCAGCTTTTAAAAGATGTTTAATGTACCGAGTTTCCCTTTTCTGGAAAATGTCTCTCCCCACAATTAATATCTAACAACTAAAATAGATCGATTGATAATTCATCTAAAAGTAATACAGAGATATTCCTAAGCAGTTTTTATTCATTATTTTATTTGATTCATTAGAAACATGTTTTGTTCAGAAGAATGATGAGATGCTTTAATGACTCACGTACTCTCACTATCCACCTGAATCTATTATTTTAAATGACAAAGACAAAAACCTGGTGAGTATACAGATGTATTATATAATTATAAAGTCTTGCATAAAATAAAAAAATACAAATGCAAACCAAAAGTCATCTGATGTATATGAGAACTTTTATTAAGCCACAAAATGGATAAAAAGTTTTTATTTTGACAATCTGAAAAGTAAAGCTGTGTTTTCAAATCACCTCTTTCAATTTTCATCTTTTTTGTTTGCCGGCTAATTAAATTTTTGCCACGTACAATTTTACATCAATTCTAATAGAGAAGTAAATTTAACCTTGCGTTCAGTTCAATGGAGCCTGTATCAATAGCACAACCGTGTGGTTGACTAGTGTCACTATTGTACCTCGGAAAATTACAGCTAAAATTTAGATTTAAAGACTCTGAGGAAATTAAATCAAGAACAGAGGAGAAGATAAAGGAGGAAAATGAAAGAGGGATTTTAATGTTAATTGAGTGTGTTTGCTTCATTACCTGATTTAATCCCAGAATCATCCTCCTGAGGAAAAAGTGTCTGTCCATCAAAGTCTGTGTGTTTTCCGTCCGGTGAGCTGCACAGAGTCTTGGTCAAAGAGTGAATAAGAAACGCTCCATCTCTGCCCGAGCTCTCGCTGCTGCGTTTCATCGGCATTATCAGCGTCAAAATAAACAAAAATCAAATCTACCCAAGAAGAAAAAGTCAGAAGAAACCACACCGAAGAGCATTTGTCCTTGAAGACACTGAACCGAACTAATCCTCAACCCCTGTTGGTCAATCCCTCCTTCACTCGGATCCAGGGACAGATAGGAAACATGGCCTGTAGCATCTCCAGCATTTTGTTCAGTTCACACCAGCTGCAAAGAAAAGACAGAAAAGGTCTGGGGAGCTGTTGGTCGAACCTGACGCTGCCTCCTCACACTCGTCTGTGTGAAGGCCGAGCTAATGAAGCCGTGGATGCATTCATCATATTTACAGAAGGCTAATCCAGGTTATTAATGATTAACAGGAGAACCCATCTGTCCATCCGTCTCTCCGGCCTCCCACAGTCTGCTGGACCTTTCTGTGTAAAACACCTGAAGAGGCTTAGGTCACAATGTTCCACTTTACTTCATGTAACTTATTGTTTGCATTTATTGGATGTTTTTTTTTTTTAACCATTTAAGAAAAATAACGAAGAAGAATTAGATTGATGATTATTTAAATCTGTTGGTTGTGTTTGTATTTTAAGAAATTTAACCACTTTCTTCTGTTCATTTCTAGATTTCACTTATTTTTACTTCACTTATTTTACTCATCTCATTTTATTAGAACACTTTTCACTTCTTATACACTTTTATACTTTTATTTTCAGCATCACTTGTATCTTTGGGACTTTACATTCTATTGTTTTCTTTTCTTTACTCTATTTTATATATTATGTTTATGTAATCTTGCGCCGTATTGTCGTGTATCTTATCATATTTTATCTTATTGGATCGTAAATACTCTCTTTTTTAAACCAGCCCCATCTACTACTAGCACGTAACTAACATTCGTGAGCAAAGTCGGACAAACGTTTATCTTTGGCGAGCTAACGTTGATTAGCCGAAGTGTCTTTGAGCAAGACGTTGAAGTCGCAGATTGCCGGTGACGTACGAATGTCGTGTGATGGATAAAGTCGAACAGAGCAGCTGTATCAACGGCTATTTAAGGACATTTTTAACAATAGAATCGTAATTTAAATACAGTCCGATTAACGATATACAGGAAATTTATAACTTAAGTGAAACTAGTGTTGATATCGATTATTAGTCACGTGACTCCGATTCGGAAACATAAGGAAATATAGCCTATTTAAAAAGCTAGCTAGCTAACATACTGTGTTTCTATTGGCTGAGACAATGTACACCCCCCCCGAGGGCGGGAACAAAAGGGGAACCAAATGGTATAGTCCACTTTAGGGGTGTCAGAAATATTATTTCAGTATTCCACCAGGTATTTATCTGTTAATATACTTTGTTATACTCACAATAAAATGTCAGAACGATATAAAAAATACCTCAGTGATACAAATGGCCGATATTTGTGGATGATGTGAGCGAAGCGGCTGCTGCCTCCCTCTGTCCGGTGCTTCCTGTCCGGGCCGACGATCCAGGTGCAGCAGCGTTAGCTCCCGTTCCTGTTTCCCGGGCAGGTGGAGCTCACGAGGCGGAACAAACAGGTGAGAACACACGGCACCTGACGGAGGACACGTATCCGGTGCTCCTGCTCTGCGAGGCGGCCTCGGGGAGGGAGCAGACCCGCTGGAGGCTGATGTTACACCCACACATGAAGTTAGCTGCCGTGTTAGCTGCCGTTAGCACAGTTTACTGGATGTTAGCAGCTAAAGGTGAAGCTACACCGCTGCTATGCTAGGTCACAATATCTGAACGTCTTCTTGACCCAAGAGACAATTTACTGGAGATGTTTTATTTTTAAATTCAGTAGTTTTCTGTTTTAATGTCGGAATGCTAAGCACACGTTAGCAGACATAATAAATATGTGTTTAAGCTCCTTCATTCCCGCTGCTGTCAGATTCTACGACACTATCAATACATTTAATTAAAACATAAATATAATAGTAAAACATAAAAGCTGCACAAATACTCACCTGCACTGATTGAATTCATTCAATGCACATTAGTGTCCTATTGCACATTATTTGT